TATTGAAAATGGTTAAAATCAGTCCATTATTTCGCCTAGCCCCCATAGTTTAAAATTAGTTACTTACAGTTGGTCCCTTTATGTCATAACTTTATAACATATAAACGTGAGTATCCCCAAAGTATGTTTAATTATTATTAGAAAAAAGAAACTACATATTAGAAACATATTAACTAAATTATTATGGTTATTTGTTTGTATTTTGCAAATTTGTTTATTAAATATTAATAGTAGTAGTAATAGTATATGTATGTATATTAAGTAGTATTATTATTTTGTAATTTGTAATGAAAAATAAAAAGCGGACAATAGAAACATCCTCTGACACAATAAACAATCAAATTATTATTATTATTATTACTATTATTATTGTATTAGTAGAGAACCCATACATATCAATTTAATTCAATTCAAATTCTATAAATAAATTAAGCACACACAAATTAGGCTCCTTAAAAAATGTTAAAATACGAAAATAAAAATTACAACAAAAAAAAAGAAAATGAAAAAAAGGACAACACAAATTGTTTGTATTATAATACGAATATTAACGAAAAAGAAAATGATAAAAGTATGTTAAAGGCGAGTTTTAAAAATTAAAGCAAATAACTTTTGATTTTAAAGTTTATAAATCTTTTAAGCAGTTGCTTTAATTTTTAATACTACGTTTGTTTAATTAAGCTTTGTTTTCAAAACAATACAAATTTGAAATTACTTTTTCAATATAATTTCATTTAATAGTTTAAAAATTAAAAAAAGAAATTTTTTATAACTTAACGAAAAAAAATATGCAAGAAAAGCACTGTTTAGTTTTATAAGATCATATGATCAAGTTTTCTGTCAAAAAATTTATGAAATTGTTGTTATTGTGAATCGTAAAAACTTAAATTGTGCGTTTATTTCAATTAGAGCTATGTAGAATTCGAATACTAATTTTCTAAATATTTCAATCCGAGTTTTCATTGAAAAATTTTAGGAAAAATTTAAAATTTTTGTACAATAAAAATTTAAAATTTCACTAAAAAATCGACTTTTTTTTTAAAATATCACTTAAAATTCACTAAATCCTTTTTTTCAATATAAATTGAAAATTTCATTAAAAATTTGAAGTTTCACTAAAAATCTGAAATTTTATTAAAACTTCTTTATTTGACTAAAATTTCTAAATTTTACTGAATATTCGAAATTTCACTGAATTTCTAAAATTTATTAAAAATTAAAATTTTCACTAAAAAATTTAAATTTATCCAAAACTTTTCCTAAAAAATGTCATTTGAAATTCGAAAAATCTTTTTTAAAATTCGAAACTACACTAAAAATTTGAAATTTCACGTTAAATTCCAAAAAATTTACCAAAACTTCAAATTAGCACAAAATTATGAAATTTTTCTAAAAATCCGAAATTTTATTAAAATTCTAAATTTCACTACAATTTCAAAATTTAACAAAAAAAAAAAAGAAATTTCACAAAAAATTTCACCTAAAATTAGAATTTTTACTAAAATATGAATTTTTCGCTTAAATAATTAAAACTTTCACCTAAATGTAAATTTTAACAAAAATTTTAAATTTCACAAATATTTAAGTTTACCAAATTAACACAAAAAATCATGTTCAAACTTGACCAATTTTGATCAATAGTACAATTTATACTTTTTTATAATTTAAGTCTTGTAGTTATTTTTTTTATAAAATTAGTCCGAATTTCCGAATAAAAGTCCGATACAAATCTGGAATAATTTTCAAACTTTAAGCCATCGACTTTAGAATCAAATTAAGTATTTATTTAGTTGAAATTAACGCACTATTATTTAGATTTGTAAAAAATTAAAAAATTAGAAATATTTGTCCGAAATCAAAAAGAAAAAATAATGAAAATATTACTTAAAAATGGATAAAAACCTTATTAACATGCTTTATATTGAAAGCGATCGTTTAAAGAAAAAAAAAAAAAGAAACTTACACAACAAGTGTAATTTTACATAATGTAAATTGTAATGTTGCATTTAAAAAAGTAATGTAAAACATTTGTTAAATTCTTTCTAATTTATAAAGAAAATTAAAACATTGATTTGTAAAATAAAAGATTTATTTAGTTAGTATTTTTTTAACTTGAATTACTTATGTATATAAATAATATTAAGGATTTTTATTTTGCTTGGTTTTCATTTAAAATTATGTATAAATATTTTCAAGAAAACATAATATTTACTACAGAGAAACGAAAAATGAAATAGTAGGAAAAAATATTTGTTTTGTGCTTTTCATGCAAATTCTTTTTTTTAATTCACAATTTCTTTTTTTTTTTTGTATTTTAATTAAAACTATGACAAGTATTGTTTAGAAATTCTACAAAATTAATAATGGTTTATTTTTTTATTAATAATTGTTTTTTTTTTCGCTTTAAAGATTATTAATATTTAATCATTTCAGTTTCAAGGTGTACAACAATAAAAAAATGAGGTTTTATTTTAAATAGTATTTAATTAGAATTTTTTTATTAATAATTTAAAAACGTATAATACAAGTATTTTAGATGCCAATTTTATGAAAACAACAACAAAACATAAAGATTTAATGTTAAGTATTTAAAATTGTAAACAACAAAAAAATTTAATTAAATAAAAAAATAAATTAATTAATGTGTTAAGAAAGTAAACAACTGAAGTGGTGAATATTTGCAATGAGATTTTTGTGAGAAGTTTTTGTTTTTAATTTTTGTTTGTTTGTGGAAATGAAGCAAATATACATCAACAAAATTAGTAATAAATGATTGAGTTTTTTAATATTATTATTATTTATGTTTAATTTTCATTTCCATATTTCAACTACTACTAAAGCTACGACGATAGCAACACCATTTCCAACTTTTATTTCGCCATATATACACATATAATTTTAAGGATTTGTAGCAGTATTCTGAGAGAAATTCTGAATTTAAATCTTACGTTATTTTTATAGCAACCCATTCTTAAATGCAGTAGTGTAAGGTAGTCAGCGAGAAAACTAACACTTAAGCAAGAAGAGAAAAACACTGAGAGAAGCACCTAAGTAAATTGAGAACAAGTGGAAGGCTGAGAATAGCGTTCAGTCTTCCTCTTGCTTGAAGAAAGCGACAAATACAATAGACTAGTCCATGCAGAACGATTGTAATTTTATTACTAAAAATAGACTAGACTATAGACTAGTCTATAATCTAGTCTATAGTCTAGTCTATAGTCTAGTCTATAGTCTAGTCTATAGTCTAGTCTATAGTCTAGTCTATAGTCTAGTCTATATTCTAGTCTATAGTCTAGTCTATAGTCTAGTCAATAGTCTAGTCTATAGTCTAGTCTAGTCTATAGTCTAGTCTATAGTCTAGTCTAGTCTAGTCTAGTCTAGTCTAGTCTAGTCTATAGTCTAGTCTATAGTCTAGTCTATAGTCTACGTCTATAGTCTAGTCTATAGTCTAGTTTCTATAGTTCTAGTCTATAGTCTAAGTCTATCGTCTAGTCTATCGTCAGTTATAGTCTAGTCTAGTCTATAGTCTGTCTATAGTCTAGTCTATAGTCTAGTCTATAGTCTAGTCAGTCTATCTAGTCTAGTCTATCTATCAGTTAGTCTATAGTCTATAGTCTAGTCTAAGTCTAGTCTATGTCTAGTCTATAGTCTAGTCTATAGTCTAGTCTATAGTTCTAGTCTATAGTCTAGTCTGTCTATAGTCTAGTCTATAGTCAGTCTAGTCTAGTAGTAGTCTATAGTCTAGTCTATAGTCTAGTGTCTATATATAGTCTAGTCTAGTCTAGTCTTAGTCTAGTTATATCTATCAGTCAGTCTAGTCTATAGTCTAGTCTATATCAGTCTAGTCTATAAGTCTAGTCTAATAGTCTAGTCTAAGTCTAGTCTATAGCTAAGTCTATCTATAGTCTAGTCTATAGTCTAGTCTTAGTCTAGTCTAGTCTATAGTCTAGTCTATAGTCTAGTCTATAGTCTAGTCTATAGTCTAGTCTATAGTCTAGTCTATAGTCTAGTCTATAGTCTAGTCTAGTCTAGTCTATAGTCTAGTCTATAGTCTAGTCTATAGTCTAGTCTATAGTCTAGTCTAGTCTAGTCTATAGTCTAGTCTAGTCTAGTCTATAGTCTAGTCTAGTCTAGTCTAGTCTAGTCTAGTCTATAGTCTAGTCTAGTCTATAGTCTAGTCTATAGTCTAGTCTATAGTCTAGTCTATAGTCTAGTCTATAGTCTAGTCTATAGTCTAGTCTATAGTCTATAGTCTAGTCTATAGTCTAGTCTATAGTCTAGTTTATAGTCTAGCCTATAGTGTAGTCTATTAGTTAGTCTTTCAGCTAACCTTCTAGTCTATAGTTTAGCCTTTCAACTAACCTTCGGAGGTACCCCAATGCATTGATATATTCTCTTGCTCACAGCCGATCTTTAACAACCTTACATTATGGCATTTAAGAAGCACTTTTTTCACACAATCTAAAATCAACGTGGAATTAAAAAAAACTTTAATTGAATTCAATTTACACAAAAAAAAAAAAACTATTATTAAATCAGAATAATTTTAAATTAACATTGACATTAGTGCTAAAGAAAACTTTTATACAATTGATAATTTGCAGGTGTTATTTTTTTAAGGTACAAAAACAAAATTTTATAATTGGAAATGGTGTAGTTTTTTTTAAGTAGCAGCTTTACAACAACATTCAATTCATTTGAAACAATTATAATGTTAAAGATGTTTTTTGTTTTGGTTTTTAATTATTTTTGATTTTTATTACAAAATTCACCCTTTAACCTAAAGCGTGGATTAATTTGAAAGAGATACATGGTAGTTTTTTCATTTGGGATATTTTGAGGGATTTAAGGAGGATTTGAAAGGATTTATTTTATGGATTTTATTACTTATTTTATAAGTAAGAATGTATAAATACTTAATTATATTATAAAAATAATATATAATAAATAGATAAAATAGCTAAATGTTTTAATTGTAAATGGAAATATAAATATCTTACCCAAGTGAATTCCAAGAATCCATATTGTTATTATTGGCATTCGTATTGTTATTGTCCTTGTTATTGTACCAAGGAGCACCGGAATTATTGCCATTCGAATTATTCAAATTGCCATTGTTCCCATGATTTGAGCGTAAATTATTGTTGTTGTTATGTTGCTGCTGTTGTTGTTGCAATTGTTGTTGCTGCTGCTGATATGAATGAGACTGATGGGGAGAGAAAAGCATACGTCCTCTATGATTTCTAGATGAAGAAGGCCCATTGCGCGAAAAAGGTCTACGGGTGGTACCCGTATGATTTGAATTTATCATGATGTTGTTGTTATTATTGTTCTTGTCTGGACTTTATTTTGGCAAATTGTTTTTATTTTTGTTGCTTCTTTTTCGGGATTATTTAGTTTTGTTGAAAAAATAACAAAGTTTCCTTTAATTGATCTTTTTTCACTTAATTTTTCTGTTTATTGTTTTTTATTTTTACTTTTATTTTTTGTAATCTTAGTTGAGGTAAGTTTTTGGGAGTGTATAAAACTGTAATATCAATAGAAAAAAAGTATATTTCATTGTTATAACTGGCAGAAGTTTAATTCAGAAGTAATTGTCTTTGTAAAGTGAGTATTGTTTTACAGAAAATTACATTTACTATAAGGACTATTTAACAGAGAACTATGAAAACCCATTTCAACCAATAAGAAGCTTTTTTTAAATAAAACTGAGCAAATAGTGAGAGAGCATTCGATACAAATTAAAATTATGCATTTCAAGCTAAATCTTGGACAATATTTCCATTTCCGTTTAATACATCTAATACTTCCATTAAATACTGTATTTTGCTCCAGGGCTGAGTGGAAAATTAGCTTTCTGATTTTGTTTATTATTTATACATGTGTTAGCTTACATACATATACATGTATGTGTGAAAGCAAGAGAGCTCTTTATAGATATCTGTTATATACATACTAGAAAGTCGAGATTTTAAGTTAGTTTTAAATATATTTTAAGCTTCTATGAGAGAACCAAAGAGTTGTAGATTTCATCTTTCCCATATATCTTTAATTAAATCCTGATGAATTCTAAAGTTCTATAATTTTTATTAACAAAATTTTTAAAACTTGAAAAATTACAAAAAAATTAATTGAATCCGAACGACTTCTAGTTCTTTAAAAGCGACCATGGAACTGGTGATATTGATATTACAATTGGAACCTGTTCAAGAGCTTTTAAAAAGTTTTCCAAGGAACAGTTTTTCTTGTAATCGTACTATATTGTTTTTTTAGACTAGACTATAGATTAGACTATAGACTAGACTAGACTATAGACTAGACTATAGACTAGACTATAGACTAGACTATAGACTAGACTATAGACTAGACTATAGACTAGACTATAGACTAGACTATAGACTAGACTATAGACTAGACTATAGACTAGACTATAGACTAGACTATAGACTAGACTATAGACTAGACTATAGACTAGACTATAGACTACTAGACTAGACTATAGACTAGACTATAGACTAGACTATAGACTAGACTATAGACTAGACTATAGACTAGACTATAGACTAGACTATAGACTAGACTATAGACTAGACTATAGACTAGACTATAGACTAGACTATAGACTAGACTATAGACTAGACTATAGACTAGACTATAGACTAGACTATAGACTAGACTATAGACTAGACTATAGACTAGACTATAGACTAGACTATAGACTAGACTATAGACTAGACTATAGACTAGACTATAGACTAGACTATAGACTAGACTATAGACTAGACTATAGACTAGACTATAGACTAGACTATAGACTAGACTATAGACTAGACTATAGACTAGACTATAGACTAGACTATAGACAAGACTATAGACTAGACTACACAAAGTATATATGAGCGTACTAGTCTATCAACTAATATGTGGACATCTTATCAAGTGTTTATGTTAGAAAAAGTACCGAAAGTAACGAATTGGGCAATATTTTTTGATATTTAAAGGTACTGAAAAAAGTACAAAAGTACTAGAAGTCTTGTATTGCAAAATTTTCTTAAATTAGTGAAACATTTTCCAACATTTTTTATAACCGGATAAGTCGACAGGGGTTAACATTTACTTAATCTCTTTCGTTGTTGAATACCTCAAAATGCGAAAAAAACACCCTCTTATACTTGATTACTTAAGGCAGTGGGAGGTTTGGTTTCTCTTGGTATAACATTTGCCAAAAAAAATATTCGATATATTTTTTCAGGCTTATTTCTATTTATTACATTAAGCAAGCAGCCTTTTGTGCCAAGCATATTATGGAATACAAACAGAAAAATGGAACTTAAGGAAACAAAATTTTGGCTCGAAATACATAATTCTATTTTATATTTACATCCCTTAAAGTATTTTTTTAATGTACGACTAAGAATACCAGTAAAAATGTTTCCAACCAACACATTTTGGGTGTTTTTTTTTTTTTCATAAAATGAACATGCAAATTATAAGCAAATAATCATCACAATTACAATTTATACTTACATTTACATTTGTTAAAGTTGCTTTTTTATTTAAATCATAAAACTATTTTCCAAAAAAATAAGGAACACAACTAATGAAATTTGTAATGAATTGCGTGCAAGTTTAATATATAAAAAGAAACCAAAATAAAAAATATACTTTTTTATGTTTAAATTTAACCACCAGGACGAAAAGAAATACAATAGAAAAAAAGAAAGAAAACAAACGTAAATAAAAACTGCAAAAAATTTCTATAAATTTTTTTTAAATGGAAAAATAATAATGGAAAATAAGAAAAATTTTTAAGGATAACGAATAAAATGACAAATGACCTTTAAGTGAAATGACTCATTTAACAAAATGGTTAACTCCAATAATGAAATTTGTTCAAAAATAATTATAATTTAATAAATATATAAAATATTAAGTTATATTAAGGGAATTATATTTACTAAGTTCCAAAAAATGGAGTTAATCATTTTGGTTAGAGAGGCATACAGGTAAATATTTATGTATGTATATGTAGTGGTAGTAGTTGTGTAGAGTAAAAATAGGAAAAAAAGGAGCAAATTTGACACAAACACACATTTATATAGAGAGAAAGTAGCAACAACATTCGTAAAAGAAAAGTAAAACAACCAAAAAATTTATGGTTTTTATTTGTAAAAAATTTATTAATAATTTATTTCAACCATAAAGATTTCTTAATTTTTTTTTTGTTTTTTTTTTTTTTAACATTAAGCTTAATAAATATAAATGTAGTAAAATGGTAATAATAAATGGTAAAAATACAAACAAATACAAAAAAGTACAATTTGCTATAAATATTATTAATAAGTATGTAATAAGATATTTAAATATGTAAAAAAAAGAGTAAAAAACACTCACAAAAAAAGAGTACTTTAAATTGTTCTCTCCTTTTAAGCAATATTAGTTTGATTGACCCAACACAATTTTGTTAACAGTAAACAAAACAAGGGAAAATATTAAGTAAATAAATAATAAATTTCTTTAAAAAACACACACAGAGAGAGAAAGAATGTGATTTAATTGAAAGTACTGATTTTTTTAGTGTTTTATTTTTTTTGTAATTATTTTTTTTTAATATAAAAAGTGTGTATGTATATGTAGTATGGGTACGGAAGTTTATATATAAATATTATATATTATTAATTAATTAATATGAGTGTTTTAATACTGGTTTTTTTTCGATTTATGATTTTATCATGTAAAGCGTTTGTATAGTTGTTTTAATTAAATTTTTTAACTAAATCACAGTTTTAATTAATTAAATTGTTATTTAATAAAAGCTAAATTATAAGAAATAATATAAACATAGTAGTTAAGTAAGTAATTTTATAACAAAAGAACCCCATTTTGTTTTATACTAAAAACTAAATTAGTTTTATTCTTTGATACAACTACAATTTATTTTTCAAATTAATTTTCTACAAAAACAGCAGAGTTATGAACAAAAATATGTAAATAAATAAATAGTAAAATGTATTATGTAATATTACAATATAATTAATTAGTTTGTTTTCTCTTAATTGTTTTTTTGATTTTATTTAATAATTATTAAGTTTTTGTTTAGTTTGGTAAAATAAACATTTATTATTATTTTTTTTTTTTTGGTGTAGTATTATTTATTATGTAAATATGATGGTTAGGCAGCCAATGATGAAAATGTACAAAAATAATTTATTGTTAATTTTGTTTTTAATGAAAACTAAATAGTTATTTTTTATTATTTTTTAATGTATGTTAATTTCTGCTTTAGATTATGAACAATTAAATACAAATTATCAATTTTACACAGTGACAAAAAGTGCTAATAGAAAAAGGCTTACACTGATAGAAAAGAAAGACAAATTGAATAAAGTCGAATAGAGACTAAAGTATACTTTATTAAAGCACTAAGTCGAAATCACATCAAATTTCCGAAATATCTTGTTCTAAAGTTTGACCACATTTGAGACGTTATAACAGCGTGACGACAACTTTATTTATTTAATTTATTATATCATCTGAAAGTCCAATCTGTCGACTTTAAAATAATAGTTTAATCTCTGTTATTAGTTCTTATTTCTTTAAGATATCTGAATCTTTAGAATTTGTAAATGTGATTAATTTCCAATAAATAATCACTTTTGTAGAAATTCTCTTAATACCTTAATTTTCTCTAAACCTTAAAATTATTTTCATAAGGAGACGTTATATGGGGGCTAGGGTCAAATATGAACCGATATTAAACAATACCAACCAAACTTTATTAATAGAAAATATTTCTGGAAAATTTCAGTTCTTCAGCTCTTCCCTCTTAGATCCTATCGAGTTTTCAACAGACAGACGTGGCTATATCTTCTTAGAATTTATTAATGGTCCCCAATATAAAACTCTTGTGGGTCTATAAGCGATATTTGTATATATTACAAACGAAATGATAAAATCAATATAACCCTCATCTCTCAGCAAAATAGGGACCGATATTAACCAATACCAAGAACTCTAACTTCTCCCATTGGAACACTATCGCTAGATTTTCTTAGAATCTAATAAGGACCCTGAATGTCCTTATTAGAATATGTCTGTTTTCAACAGACATACGGACGTGGATAGATATTCTTAGAATCTAATAAGGTTCCTGAATGTATAAACTCTAATGGATTTATGACCGATATTTGTAAAGATGTTAAGAGATGGAATTGGGGGGTCAATACCCGACAGGCATTCTTTATTTAACTTTACGTTGTAAAAATGGAACGCAGTTAGATCTTCTTAGAATCTAATAAGGACCCTGAATGTATACACTCTAATGGGTTTATGACCGATATTTGTAAAGATGTTAAGAGATGGAATTCGGGAATTTGGGGCGTCAATACCCGGCAGGCATTCTTTATTTAACTTTACGTTGTAAAGATGGTTTACTTCTATTTGAACTGAAAAGAATTACTTATTACTTCGGAACTCTTCGAAAACCTCTTACAATATTGCTAAAAAACATCTCAACCCCTCATTTGT